TTTTTTTTTTTTTTTTTCTTTTGAGAGAGAATAATGAATAATTGAATTGAAAGGGGCTTCTGTTTTGTGTCGGATTGGGTCCTTCACTGTTCACTCAATTGAAAGCTATGTGCTTATACACGTGGCAGCCTCTTGTGGTTTTGAAACCTTTGCAGGATCGATGAGATGACCCATAGTCCATGTCGTTTTGGAAAATTAAAATAATTTTTTCTTTCAAACTCTTGGGGAGTGGACTAATTTAGCAAGAAAAAGAAAATAAATTGTTTTTGTTTTGTAAAAGAAAAAACGGGGGGTATTTTTTTTTCTGCTAAAGAGAAAAAAATCGGTTTTGTATTGTCTTATTCGTTGGAGGAGAATTGCCCAAAGTTTTCATACTCCATCTTGACTTGAGACACAAGAAAAATTATCCTAATTAAGTATTGAGGGGGAAAAAGAAAAGCTCTATTAAGAATTTAGGATTGCTATTACTGATATTTTTAAATTTCGGGTTATTTTCGGTTGGTTTCTCGAATTTTAAAAATTCTTAATTTGTTTTGTAAATTTTAAATTATTCATACTTTAACTCTTTAGTTGGAAATTTTATTAAAAATTGATTAAAAAAAGTGAGTAATATAATCGCGTGATTTTTTAATTTGAATATCTATTAAAAATAAATTGATAAAAATTATATGACCACATTTAACTCTTTTTTCGGTTTGATTTTAACAGAAATTCTTATAAAAAGTCTTAAATGGGACTAAATCAAAATTTAAAAAATAATGCAAGTTTTAAAAGTTTATAAAGTAAACGGAGAATGACTCTAAAGCTCAGCGGGCACTAATAAAATTAAGCCAAGGCTTTAATGCATTGCATCCATCGAATGGGGAATTTCACAAAGGGTATGAAAAATATTGTGTACACGCCCTTTGCGAATTGTTAGTTCAGCCGTTTGTGAATTGTTAGATTTTCACTATATTGATTTTAGAATATTCTAAAAATTCAGTTTTCTGAATTTACATGCCAAGTTTTAGCAAAATAGTGAACAAAACTAAGAAATCAATGGAAGCTTTGACCAACGTAGTGACATTCAACATTTTAGTATACAACAACTTTACTATCTACTATGTGAATGCAATAGGGAAAGCGGAAAAAGAAAGAGTGAAATGTATGGAAATCTGAGTGGGAGTTCTAATTGGAACTGGGCGTAGGAGAGCTGCTAACCCATTTATCATTCACAACAGAATCTGGAGAAAGTGGGGGAGGCAAGTTCTTCAGAAGCGCAGTATCATCTGATCTAATGTCCACAACCTCTGCTTTCTGTGTGACAAACTCTTGATTCCCAATTGCTTTCAAAGTAGTCAACACCTCATCCATGGAAGGCCTCATGTCCCTCTCATGCTGCAAGCAGCGGAAGGCCAACTCCGCCACGGCCGTTGTCGTTCGCCTTATGTTGTCGTCACTCTCGAACCCAAGACAAGGATCAACAAGCTCATTCACGGCATGATTTTGAATCCTGGTGACGGCCATATTAGCTAAATTGATATCATGTCTGTGCCTGTTGGTGTCCACGGCTTGTAATGAAGATATAAGTTCAATCAAGACCACTCCAAAGCTATAGACATCGCTCTTGTCCGTAAGCTGGTAAGACTGGTAGTACTCGGGATCAACATAGCCAGGAGTACCTTGTGGGGCGGTTGAGACATGGGTGACATCATTGGGGAACAATCTTGAGAGGCCAAAATCGGCCACTTTGACTCGGAATTGATTGTCTAGGAGAATATTGTTGGTCTTGACGTCGCGGTGTATAATGTCGGAACGGTGGAGGTAAGCTAAGGCATCAGCTGTCTCTATGGCGATGCTTAATCGAACAGGCCATCTGAGTACACTGGAGTTGGTTTGTTTCCCATGAAGATGGTCAGCTACTGTTCCATTCGGAATGAATTCGTAAACTAGAATGAGCTCTCTGCTACGTCTCGACGTGCATCCATACAACTTAACAAGGTTCTTGTGCTCTAAACGACTGAGGATCTCAACTTCATTCTTGAACTGCTCTACACGTTTGAAGTTCGTCTCATATAGGCGCTTCACCGCTACTACACGACCATCCCGGAGCACGCCTGGTCAAATTAACAATTCAATGAATATTATAGGAATTCAGTGACTAATAATTCAACACACACTGATATTGGTACAGAAAGCAGTGGCGGAGCCACTTGAAGATGAGCAGAGACAGCCGCCCCCACTCAAATTTTTTTTTTAAAATATTACCTTTAAAAATTTTAAACTTTTACGCTTAAACTCTCACTGAAATAATATATACCCCCACTAAAATAAATATATTTTCTTAGATACCCTTAATAAGATAATTTGTTAAAAAAAATTTAATTTACGCCCCGACTAAAGTGAAATATTAGCTCCGCCACTGATAGAAAGTGATGTTTAAAATGGTTTATCTTACACACCATAGTAAACAACCCCAAAGCCTCCCTCTCCAAGTTGTCTGGAAGGGTCAAAATTGTCGGTGCCTTCCTCTAGTTCGGTGTAGCTGAACACCTGAGCTCCGAAATAGGTACTGCACTTTTCGAGGTCGGATTGAGAGTAGGTATAAGAGCCAGAGTGCGTACTTCGTGAGAAATTCGTTGAGGAGGTAATCATGCTCTTGCTTGAAGGGGGCGTGATAAGCCCTTTGGTTTGAATTAGAGCAGCACGTTTCTTCTTCTTTTGAATGCAAAAATAATAACCAGAACCACCTATCAAAATGCCAAGGATGCATGCACCTGCTATTGAAATCCCTATAGATGAAACAAATAAAATTTCTCACATTTTCTTTTCTATACCATGATCTCCAGTTAAACAATATATATATATATATATATATATATACATATATACGGGTAACCATTAATACCATTATATATATGTGTGTGTGTATATATATATATATATATATATATATATTTTAGGAGGGGCGAATGTTTTTTATTAT